TTTTAAGATGTAATGGCGAGTCAAAGTTGGTTTCATAAATTTTCTCTTCCTTCTGTACATTCATTTTATGGGAATTTCTTTAAACAACAAATTTTTGTGTTTTATTCTCGAATTAAATTTTTTAAATAATTAATTTTGTGTTATTTTTTAAAAACATGTTATAAATTGCAAGCAACTTTTGTTTTACTTCTAAAAATCATAACTTAAATTTTCTAAAAAAACTTTATTTTAGGTATCATTTGGTCAAGATACTCCATGGTAATAATTCCTAAGAACTGGAGTTTATTTAGTGTAAATATCTTTGTAGCTTTAACTGGTTTATTCCAACTGAGCCGTATATACAGGTATGAATTTCATATAAATTATCTTTTTTGCATTAATTAAGGATTAAATCAGTTTAATTTAAATACAAATACTTTTTTACAAAAATATTGATTGGATGATATGTTATAAAATGTTTAGTAAATTTTTTAATTCAATAATTTTAAAAAAGTAATAAATATTTTAATACAACATATAAATTATTTTTTTATTGATTTTCATTGGTTTAAAATTTATTCTAAATATTTTATAGTAGTATTATGCTTCAATTAGAAAAATTACAATATTGGTGTGCAATAAATTTCAACAGTAAGAGTTTTAATATAATTTTAAATATCTAATAATTATTTCGGGCTTTTCAGAGTGTAGAATAAGAACAAAGTAACTTTACTATACAGAAAATGCCCAGACTTAAGTGTTATGATTCGCTAACTTTCTACTGTATCTAAATTTTTCTGTTTATAAAAATGATCTGTTTAACATAGGAAGTTAATTTCTTATTTTGTTTCTTTTAGGCACAAACAATCTTTGAAACAACCAGCAGCATAAAACCCTATTGTGTTCATTATTCTTTAACAGTTATTTATTTGTTAATCAAATATTGAGATTCTTAAGTTTTTGAATCATACATGTTATTAGTGATAGCTTTTAAATTTGTTGCAGTTATGTTAAATTAAAATAATTTTTTGAGTTTTCATTGATTTTATTTATTATTTTAATGTGAAATATAGATTTTATAAAGTTGTATAATGTGTCATTACTTAAGTTATTTCCAAAGTAGATAACACATAACATTCTAAAATATGAAATAAATTTTTCCAAAGCAAGTTTTGAAACAAATTTTTTTTTTTTTTTTTTTTTTTGAACTTGGAGTTGTACCAGATAGTGATTTGGGCTGCATAATGAATATTCAGCCCAAAATAGTTTCTTTTCCTTATTCATTACATTTAAATTTATATTTAAGTGGGAAAAAAAACATTTTTAATTATTGTAAGACTATGCGAAAACACATTATTATGTACAGTACATTTATTATATACAGTGCACAAAAAAAGAACACAAAAAAAACAAAAACAGACGGCCTTGAATAACTTTTGATCTAGTGATCGGATCTTCATGTTCCAACACTCAATCTTAATGGTATGAGGGAGTGACTTCTAGTTAATTGGTGCAGACGATGTTTTAAATTTTAAAATCTGACACAAAAACATACTGTCTCTGAATTAAAATGACCTTTTTTCCGGTAGATTTGGATTTCTAACTCAATAATTGGGTCAGGAGAGTGGTCCAAAATTTAAGCCCTTTGTTATTAATTTTATTTTTGTGTATTTTACCATATCTCGAGAAATTTTTAAGGTAAATGAAAAAAGTTTGTACACAATTATAAAATTTATTTTATCTAAAGATGCAAAATGTTGCGTTTAGTAATTATTCATTATTTTTTACAATTTTATTTAATAGTAAAAAAATTTCAATTGTAATGTTTAGGATTCTTTACCATTATTTTAACGAATGTAATTTTACATGGAAAAATATGAAATTTGAAGGAAATTAGTCAAATTGTTACTGAGAAATGGAATTTTAAGTATACGATTTCTTTAAAATAAAGTTATTGTTGAATACCTCAGACATGATTGTGCTCTGGAAAATTCGGATTTCCAGCTAAACCGCAATCCGGAAATCCTAGGTCCAGAAGTTTCAAAAAATCATCATCCACATTTATGTATAAAAATTTTTGTATATTCTATTTAAAAATATTAGAACTAGAATTTATACTTGGCATCTGTTTCATTTGTACATATTTTTCTGGTAGAATAAACAATGTGATTA